ACGCTGAAAGAAATTAATGAATTCAACTGATATTTGGAAAAAAGATTTTTTTTCTCAAGTACGAAAAACAACCTAATGAATTAGATGACATTACACTTGCACAATTTGTTTTAACACATAACAAAAATAAAAGAGGACAATAGATTGAGAGAAAAGAATCGAGAGTTATCAGATATAGAAATTAATGACATGGGTAACGATTTTGACGATTATAAAAGAGAAATGGTCACTCTGCATATACCATTTCAAAATGAGGACGATGATATTTTGCATGGATTGAAAGTTATTGAAATTTACTATGAAAATGAAGATCTGATTCTAAATAGGCGGAAAGAATTCGAATCGAATTTAGATGTTAATAAAACATCCAATAGGAATGTTGTCAACCGAAAAGCTTATTCCACCTGTCTACGTGGCCTCGTAACTATTACTAAATATAGTTTGTTTTGGTGTTGTATAAGAAAAAAAAAAAATTTTAGTCACAATGACTGATTGCATCTAACAAAAAGTAATAAAATTTGACTTGGACTTGATTAATAAACGATTTTAGGGACTTGTTAATAAGCTGCTTGGAATTTTTGTACAAACATTCATAATTTTTACAAAATTTCACCACTGTTGAATCTATTAATTTATATTCTACTAACAAATTATTTCTCAATAAAAAGAAAATATCTCCTATGGCTGTTTATAATAGTTTCCGATGACCAGCAATACCACAGACTTTACCGAAACTTGACCTCGTATCAGCAATATTATTTTTTCCTAAGATACCATTCCTGCAAATACGAAGATTACGTCACATAGAAGGGTAGTATAGCATTATCGGTCAAGTCATAAACGTCCCCGTATCTGTTAACATTATGGTAACTTTTTTGCCGAGAAATGTTAATAACGAACACTGAGTTTACGTATACATTGATAGAATATTAATACACAAATCAAGCTACGTCTACGGATTGGTTTATATAAGAATGATTAAACTTTGATTAAACTATTTAATACGATCACCTTTATATCTATTTTATAATATAAGTATACAGATCAAAGTTTCTTCAATTCAAACACAGAAGACAATTATTGAAATAATATTGATGATTACAGTGAAGTAGTTCCAATTGAAGAAGGTTTTATTGCTCAACAACAAATGTTGCTTTGTAATGAAGATAAATATTTTAGAATTTATCCTGGGGAATGCAACGTTCGATAAAGTATTTTATTCGACGAACATGCTGAAGAGTTATCTTATCCAGATATTTATTTTGGCAATTTCGAAAAAGTGTTAGAGTCACACCGTTTATGATGGCTATCAGCGAATTGAGACGTTTTGATCGACGAGGAGATAAGGTAAAGTACCCAGTAGTTGGACACTTTTGACAGTCGAAATTTTCTTTGCTGATATATGAAAAACTAAAAAAAATGATGTTCAAAAAAACTTTGCATTAATTATTTAAAATTTTTTTTTATTTATTAGAAAAAAATATATATCAAGTTAATAAACAAAGAAAAAATTAATATCAAAGAAAAATCATCAAGACCCAGTATCTGGACACCAGT